CTTGTTCACTGCTGTTGTCTCCGCTGTGAGACGTGTGTCCCCCGCTCGATGGACCAGGTGTCCCGGCCGATCGTATCGATGCTGCATCGTCAGGATCTCTGCTCCATGAAATCTGCAGAACAGAGGTGGAAATTATAACCAAACAGAACTTTATTCTGATTATTGCTGATGATGCAGAGAACTTAGAATGAAATGTGGTGGGACAAGGGATGGGACATGGGATGGGACAAGGGATGGGACATGGGATGGGACAAGGGATGGGACATGGGATGGGACCATGGATGGGACATGGGATAGGACATGGGATAGGACATGGGACAGACATGAGATGGGACATGGGATAGGACATGGGATGGGACATGGGATGGGACAAGGGATGGGACATGGGATGGGACATGGGATGGGACAAGGGATGGGACATGGGATGGGACATGGGATGGGACATGGGATGGGACATGGGATAGGACCTGGGATAGGACATGGGATGGGACATGGGATGGGACATGGGGTAGGACATGGGATTGGACATGGGATTGGACATGGGATAGACATGGGATAGGAAATGGGATGGGACATGGGATGGGACAAGGGATGGGACAAGGGATGGGACATGGGATGGGACATGGGATGGGACATGGGATGGGACATGAGGTTGTAGGATATATTTCAATGTTCATCAGTCCCTGGAAGAGACACTGAACTCACCTGATCCATGTTGTTTCCTGACGACCTGAGGAAGTCCTCGCTGTCCGATTTGTTTCCATCTCTGTCGTCAATAACCAGATCGATCGGCATCTTCCCTTTCAGACAGCTGATGTATCGATGACAGAAGTTATCGCAGAGCTCGTGGACCTGGAAAAATAATTAACAGTTTATATAAGAATAATATTTCAACAATTTTTCAAAGTTTAGGCTGATAATCTGTAAACTTGAAGATCTCAATTTAGATTTTTATCAGACATTTTTTTTAAATATATCCTGCATGTGACCAAATAAAAGACGACCCAATATAAGACAACCCCCAATATGAGAAGACCCCAAAATATAAGACGACGCGGAATATAAGACGATTCCAAATATATGAAAACCCTGATTATGAGTTGACCCCAAAATAAGACAACCCCGGATATATTACAGATTATACAATAAACCCCAATATCAGACGACCCAGAAATATAGGCGGCCCCAAATATTAGACAACCCCCCCAATGTCAGACAACCCTGAATCTACGATGAGCGGAATATTAGAAGACCCCCCAAAGGGAGTAAAGTGCATTAAAATATTCTAAATTAAAGGAATGTAACGAGATATTTTAGGATACTTGAATAAGCAACACATTGAGCATTTTTGTTTATATCTCAGCGATCAAACCAACATAAAGCACATCTATATATGAATATATTCTGACCTTCTCCAGCTCCAGGAGGTGGAAACGCAGCACCTGTATCGACTGAATCATCTGTAAGACAACCAAATGACGTTCATTCGTTTTGACTCGTTGGCAAAGAAATCAATGTTTTTCTGTCATATCAAAACTGTATGAATCAGATTGTAATAAAACCATTCACATTGATAACTCACCAAATTATCCAGCTCTGGGTTTGATGAAAATAAAGGCCTCTCGGATCGAATCTGGAGACACACACACACACACACACACAAAGAAACCTCTTAATCAGGACCCCAAACTAAGCGGTAAGAAGTCCTTGGACACCCAGCTTTATGTGCACATTTCCTAAAGAGATGTTTCAAAAAAAAGACCAACTATAAAACACATCATGATTCATGAACTGAGGTAGTGTGTTTAGCATATACACTCTAAACTGGGTAGAAAAGGAACAAATATTTTCTCCCTCCTCGTCTAGTAGGCAAAGCAGCAGCTTCTTTTTTTGGGAGACTGAGACCCAAAACTGTCCAGATGATGTTTTAGTGTGTACCCGGCTTTCCTAGACTCCTCCTATAGGGAGTCATACTTAGCCTGTTCGCGCTGCTCAACGGCTTAAAACACAAAAACTTTTGATTTGCTTTATTGTCTTAAGCTAAGGTCACTTCACTTCCTGTTTGGATGCAAACCTGTTTTTGTTTTGAAAGTAAATACAGAACTTGTGGGAGGACGAGGGCTACAACGTTAAGCCTGGCTCGCCTCAGACTACAGGATATTTGGCCGATTAGAGTTCAGATTCCTCCTACCCGACAATCGCAGGGGCGTTCCCGAGGCTGCTCTAAACCGTTAATGTTCCCAGATTATCTTGTAGTGTGAGCAGTAAAAAGATTTAAGTTTAACGTCCCCGATCTGCTCAGAGAGCGTCGCCAAAATTTACATCAAGCATGTTTGATATTTAGGATTTAAAATCTTGACTATTCTGTAATTAAAGGGGGGGGCATCGGGACCCTCAGCTGATTTCTGTCCATGGGCCCATGAAAGATTCCTACGGCCCTGGCCCTCCTGAAATCCTCCAGATGTGTTGTGTTAACTGACACGGGGATGAAAAGTTTGCTTCTCTACCTGTTTGGAGAAGACGGCGATGTCCTCGTTGAAGGAGTCCGAGGAGCAGACGTCTCCTCCCGCCACACCGCTCTCTCTCGGCGTGCAGGTCGCAAGTTCACATTTTTCAAAAATCAGTGCGAGTAGAGGGAATAGAGGATGTCTGCAGGAGAGAGGGAGGAGGAGAGGAGGAAGAGGAGGAGGAAGAGGAGGAGGAAGAGGAGGAGGAGAGGAGAGAGGGAGGAGGAGGAGGAGGAGGAGGAGAGGAAGAGGAGGAGGAAGAGGAGGAGGAAGAGGAAGAGGAGAGAGGAGGAAGAGGAGGAGGAGAGGAGAGAGGGAGGAGGAGGAAGAGGATGAGGAAGAGGAGGAGGAAGAGGAGGAGGAGAGGAGAGAGGAGGAGGAGAGGAGGAGGAGGAGGAGGAGGAGGAAGAGGAGGAGGAAGAGGAGGAGGAGAGGAGAGAGGGAGGAGGAGGAAGAGGAGGAGGAAGAGGAGGAGGAGAGGAGAGAGGGAGGAGGAGGAGGAGGAAGAGGAGGAGGAAGGGAGGAGGAGGAGGAAGAGGAGGAGGAAGAGAGGAGGAGAGGAGAGAGGGAGGAGGAGGAGGAAGAGGAAGAGGAGGAGGAAGAGGAGGAGGAGGAAGAGGAAGAGGAGGAAGAAGAGGAGGAGGAGGAGGAAGAGGAGGAAGAGGAAGAGGAAAGAGGAGGAGGAGGAAGAAGAGGAGGAAGAAGAGGAGGAGGAGGAGGAGGAAGAGGAGGAGAGAGGAGGAGGAGGAGGAAGAGGAGGAGGAGGAAGAGGAGGAAGAGGAAGAGGAAAAAGAGGAGGAGGAGGAGGAGGAGGAAGAGGAGGAAGAAGAGGAGGAGGAGAGGAAGAGGAAAGAGGAGGAGGAGGTAGAGGAGGAGGAGGAGGAGGAGGAAGAGAGGAGGAGGAGAGGAGGAAGAGGAGGAGGAAGAGGAAGAGGAAAAGAGGAGGAGGAGGTAGAGGAGGAGGAGGAGGAAGGAGGAGGAGGAAGGAGGAGGAGGAGGAGGAGGAGGAGGAAGAGGAGGAGGAGGAGGAGGAGGAGGAGGAGTCAGTTCAGACTGTAAGTTCCTTGCTGCCTCAAAAAGAAATGTTTCAGTGACTGTAGATTTACAATAATCTTCTTTTTTAGAGAGAAACGAGATTTTGACAATTTGTCAAACAAATTAAAGTGAAAGAAAAACAGTGAAAGTTAGAGATCACATTTCTGTCCTTCATGCAGAACTTTCTGTTAGGCTGTTGCTGCTTTTGTTAAAGTAAAGACGCTGACTGAGCTTCCTTTATTTCTGTCACTTTGTCAACCTCACATGAAGATGATGTTGGCCTGGCTCGGCTCGGCTCGGCTCGGAATGGGAGAGTTAAGAGTGGCTAATATCAAACATGAAACTAACCAAAGGAACTACTTTTTACAGCGGAGGGATACTGTTCTAGTGTTCCCCCTCTTCAGTTTTATCTTCTTTTTGTTGTTGTTTTTTTAAGTCATCTCACCCGTAAATGTCGTCTTTGTCCCTCTTGACGGCGTCCCCGGATGAGGGAGTCATGCCGCTGCTGCCAGTGTGGGCGGACTGGGCGTACTGGTGTGAGGGGTATGGACTGCCTCCTGCAGCGGCGGCTGCGGCAGCCAGGTGCACAGCCTGTAAAGAGCGGGCGGCGGCGGCGGCGGCGGCGGCGTGGTGGTGATGCTGGTGGTGTGGGTCTCCATACATACCCCCACCCATGCCGTCCAGCCCGTAGTGGGCCAGGTCTTCATACTGTAACACAGAGATAAGAGACGTGTGACCTTTGACCTCCTGAGCTGTGATCAAACAAACTACATTCAGGGCGTGTTTGGGGATCAGTGCCTTGCTCAAGGGCTCCTCGGCAGAATTCAGGAAGTGACCTGGCATCTCTCCAGCAACCAGACTAACTTCCACATTTTTTTGGTATGCACCGGGAATTAAACATGCGACCCAAATTACCGCCCCAAAAAATATCTCAAAACAATCAAAACCAAAACTCGATTCAAACGCACGGTCTGTAAATGCCACCACCAGGGGGCGCTCAATCAAAACAATAACAAAAAGATGACGTTAGGAATCATGGGAGTGATTCTCTCTGCTACTCCACCCACACACCCCCAATGAAAATGACCTCCGAGTTGACCGTAGTCATGACGACGGTGAAACCGACCTGAAGAAGAGAATCTGTTTACAGACGAGCTGATGTATCAGAGTTTAATCTACATCAGGGATGGGCAACCTTGGTCACAGCAAGGGCCACATTCATTTAATCCTCACTGCCAGGGGGCCAAACTGTAGAATACAAAAACCATTACAGTCGATTCTGTCTCAAATTAACTCAACATATACCACTGATCAAATATTATTATAGACATATTTCTGGTTTTCATGATTTCATGGCAGATTTCATCATGTTTTCTTCATGTTTTCAATCAATTCATGTGTAAAAAATTAACCTGAGGGCCACATTTAAGGTTGATGGGAGCCGCATGTGGCCCCCAGGCCCTCAGTTGCCCACCCCTGATCTACATGATGTTTTTATCACAGCAGCTCAAACAGCAGCTTTCTGGAGCAGCTCACGCTTCATTATGTAACGATCTTTGGCGTGACATCCTGTGTTTCCACGGCAACAATTAACATATCGTGGCAAGACACGTGACGTTACATCGATACAATGAAGGATTTCTCTTGCTCTGATAACTGTTGGAAATATTTGAGGTAATGTAAAACAACCAAATAATATAACATATCATTTAGTCCATTTTTAATTCATTTAAATATTTTAGTGAAATTATTCAACAAATGACGTCTTTGATTAAACGTCACTAGGAGAATAAAAACAGCTCAAATGTCTGAAAATCTCAGAAGAAGCAAAGTTTACGGATTTTACTGCAAAACCAAGAAGAGTTTAAAACCGTTTAAGAAAAACAAGATGATCAAAACATTTGATCGAATAAATACTTAAAAAGTAAAAAACAAAATCTAATCTAGAAACGAGTCAGTTAGACTTTAGCTACAGATGTTCCTTTAATGACGTCACCATCTTTGTTTTAAACATTAAACTTCTGTGTGTTTTTACCTCGGTTGAGTATTTGTTATTTTTCGCTCCTTATATGGGGTTGATTCGATTTCCGGTCATTTGCAGTGGGCGTGGTTTACCTTATTATTACCTGTGTATTTGAGTCTGTTTGAATATTTGCTGTTGACGTCATCCTTTTGGTCGTAATCGTCATCATCCTTTGGACTCTTTGTTTACTAACAAACTTATCTGGACTTAAGTCAGGTTCAGGTCTGTGTGGCTTTCTCAGATCTAAGCCGCCATGACACTTTTTATATTCATCCTTTATTTCAGGTGACTCTCCCTCACACTGACGTCACGTGGCTTTGACCCACGCGCTTCTCCTTACACGCTGTTTGGGGGTTTTAGCAGCAGAAACATTTCTTTATCCCAAACTCTCAGGACACTTTCCCCCTCAATAATGTTTCTCTGTTCTGAACTCTTCAGATGTTTTCAGAGGACAAACATCCTGTTCTGTACACTATAAGAAAAGGTGCATTCAAGGGGAGTGGGGTATTACAGTATCGAATAAAATGTGTTATTATTTCATTATGAAGTGTCCTCGTGCACATGTTGCTGCTTTTATATAGACACTTCAACAAGTTATAAATATAAATAAACAAGTTATAAATATAAATAAACAAGTTATAAATATAAATCAACAAGTTATAAATATAAATATCTAAATAAACAACTTAAACACATGCACGCGCTAAAACTCTCATTTAAGGCTGTAACTCTGATTAATTTTATTTATGACAACTGTTCACGTGACTACGTGAATTTAACACACCTGTGTGTGTGTGTGTGTGTGTGTGTGTGGGGGGGGGGGTCTGCAGGCTGAACGCGTATTTCGCTCAGCTCACAGTAAAGTGTTTTTAAAGTGTTTTTAAAGTGTTTTTAAAGTGTTTTTAAAGTGTGTCTCGGGGTTTTTTATTTATTCTATAATAAAGTTATCTCAGATTAAATTTCATTAAAAATGGCGGCAAACATTTTTTATGAAGAAATGAGTCAGCACGAGACAATAAATCTGATTTAATCCTTTAAGGTTACAACAAAAAAATCACTTAGTATTTTAATAGCTTTAGTTTATATTATAATATATATAAACAATATTTAAATATATGCAGGGTATTTTGTTACGTACTTATAGTTTTAAATGTGACCTTTCAAAATAAAACTTTTTGCAAAAGCAAAAAAGTTTTCTGTAAATGTAATTCTGTCTGTTAAAATAACTTCAGTATGTTAACAAGTGTTTTATTATTATCAGCCTTTTATTTGAATAACTATCAGGAAGTCTTCTTCAGATGTAGTTTTTTGTTTTGTCGATTTTGTAGTTAGAGAAGTAGTTAACAAAAGCATACAGGTGTGTGTGTGTGTGTGTGTGTGTGTGTGTGTGTGTGTGTGTGTGTGTGTGTGTGTGTGTGTGTGTGTGTGTGTGTGTGTGTGTGTGTGTGTGTGTCCGGTCAGTGATCAATAAAACGCTGTTTAAACTTTGACCTCGCTTAAAAGGCCTCGTGCAAGAACAGAACTGTTTTAATACTTATTTATTTATTTATTTTATTTTGTAACTTAATTATTAATTTAATCTTTTTAAATCGTCTCAATCGGAGCAGAGAAATATAGAGTTCATTTTTACCGTTTTATCAACTCCAGAAAATGTTTTTATTCTCAGCCGCTGAAGCACGAAGGACACACACACACACACACACACACACACACACACACACACACACACACACACACACACACACACACAGTGTGACTAATGACGTGTTTATTCGGTTTATAAAGTGTGAAGTGTTGCTCACTCTGACTCCAGCTCAGAGTTTGGATCTAATCTCCACTTTGTTTTAAATTAATAAAACTTAAAGTTTAAAATTAAATTTGAAGAAAGTTTTTAAATTTATTTAAAAGCATCAAAAGGTTTTTTTTTTAAACTACAGAATCTAAAACTGAAAACTCATCTCAGACTTTAAATCTGCATTTAACAAAATAAAGTGTTGAAACCACAGACTGTAACTAATCATCAAGTTATCAGTTTTATATTAATAAATAAAGTTCAGTGTGTTGATTTGTAAATGTGTGATAATAAATATAAACTTGAGGATAAATGCTCCACGACAAAAATATTTAATTATGTTTCTATTTTTTTAGCCCCAGGAGAAATGTTTCATAATTAATCTGAGAGATGAAAACGTTTCTTCTGTAAATGTCTTTCTTAAAAGGTGAAAACTTGAGAATTATAGTTCTTAAATAAGTGAGAATTAATTCTCTTTAATGACTTTAAATCATGTTTTTAGTCACTTTAAAGAAGCTGGACTCCCCGGTTCTTCTTAAATAAAAAAAACACGCTGACTTTATTCATCCCGATTCCCTCTCCTTTCATTAAACTTGTTCCCCTGAAGTCACAGATTTATAAAAACAATCCTTCCTCTGCGCTCCAATAAAAAGTTGATTTTTACGCACCCGTTGCGCCATCGGCTCCGTCTCTGCGCCCGGACTCCAGGTGACTCCTGCGGGGCAAAACACACATCCAACTCCCCGGTACAGGAGCGCTAATCACTTAATCCGCGTGTCCAAAAAAGAAACGCGCACTAAACACGCAGAGAGAAGCAGCAGGTCCCCCCCCCCCCACCCCGCAGGATCCACTCCGCTACAATCCGCCTCCAGCAGCAACCCGGGCAGACCCTGTCCCTCCAGCTCCCGGCCTCCGAGCAGCTCCAACAAGCAGCAGAGAAGCAGCGCTCAGTCAGCAGGCCCGATCCGATCAGGTTACATCCAAACCCGGGGATTCAAGTGACGCGGAGCCGCCCGCTGCGCTCTGAGTCGGGCCGTGCGCCGCTTCTTCTGCGCCGAGGTGCGTTCAAATCCCCATCGCAGCTCCGGGCCGAGCGGCTTCCTCCTCCCTCCAGAGCAGGCCGTCCTGGTGTGTGTGTGTGTGTGTGTGGGGGGGGGGGGGGGGGAGGGAGGGAGGAATAGTTTCTTTCTTCTCCCCCTTAAAGGAACAGAGACTCAATGCGCACCACGGAGGGAATGTTTTGAAGGGGACACATTCTGTGATTTTATTGTAACTATCAGAAGGGCTCTGATATGTTTACATGAAAAGTTTGTAACTCCTCCGATCTTTAAACACAACACTGACTCAGCACAGCGACAAAATGTTGTTCACAGAAAACCGGAGCACACCTGGATCCCCGGCGCAGACCTGCAGGGGGCCCTGAAGGGGGCCCTCCAGGGGGCCCTGAAGGCAGGGCAGGTTTACAACGTGGCAATTAGTTTGTGGTCATTTAATCACCTGCAAATGTGGTCGTTAGTGCTGATGAGAAGGACCCCAAGCTCCCCCCCCATAGGCTGCATGTCTGAGTGGGAGGAGCCAACGTGACATTTGAGGAGGTTTTGGAGTTTGTCATTTTCGCCTTCTGTCCCGTTTCCAATCTTTACCCCGCCGTCAGGTTACAGAGGGCGGTGGGGAAATCTCCACCTAACGAGCCTTCATGACCCCGATTCCCCTCCAGCAGTCGTAGACGACCTTTTCCTTTAACAGGCGGGACGGCGTGACTGGATAGTAGGGGTGTCCCGGCAAACGGGTCGGTGCGTTTTCAGGTCATGGCAAGATACGAGTTCGGTTTAGTCAGCTTGTAAAAGGCGGTGACCACGGACTGACTTATGTGTGCACGGGACGGGACAAAATCCTCCGTCCTGCATTTGGGCACATAGCTGTCGAAAACGTAACGCCATTCACTTCAGTCACCGCCTCGTCACGGTCTGCTTTCACATGGCGAGGCTTTTTAAAGATTTTTATTTCTGTGCCTTTAATGGAGAGATAGGAGAGTGGAGAGAGTCAGAAATCAGGGAGAGAGAGAGAGAGAGGGGGGAACGACATGCAGGAAAGAAGCCACAGGTGGGAGGTGAACCCGGGCCGTCCGCTTGAGACGACAGCCTCCATACATGGGGCGCGCGCCCTAACCACTGCGCCACCAGCGCCCCCACATGGCGAGGCTTTTTAAAAAACGGCGAGTCACCTGTTCCCTGACGTCTCGCACCGGTGGTTGTTTCCACGCACATACCGCACGACTGTTGAACATCGCCGACACATCGCCCTCACTCGATCCACCGCTCGCGCTCCATCGCTGACGTCGTCTACGATGTTCCCCTCACAGCAGATTCAAACGGCGAGTATTCAAGCTTCCTGTGTGTCGTTTCAACCTGTTTAGTTGAGGTGCGTCGTCTTCTTCATGTGTTCTTTAATGGCGGGTGGCAAAGCGTTTTTCTCAGCCGCTGAAGCACGAAGGACACACACACACACACACACACACACACACACACCTTCGTGGCGTTCGTATCGTGATGGTTCGGGAGGAATACACAGACCGTCACACCCCTACTGGAGAGGGTTGGAGTGATGACACTTCACCTTAACCCCAGACGGTTACACACAACACACAGGTGAGGGCTGAGTGGTAGAACGTGACCATATTTGGAGGAGAGGGCGGAGCCAAAGAGGGGAAGTAATCAGCAAACACTAAAGCCTGATGTCCTGTAGAAAAGTCCTGCTGGAACATCAGCTCAGTCTGAGTGGATTTAGAACAAGAAACTTCACACACATGTTTTGAGGAGCTCTGAGATTTATTTAACCTGCAGAAGAAGAACAAGACGACATGTGACCTTTTATGGTCATATAGAGAGATTGTCTTCAGTCTTTAAATCCAGGATTCATTTACATTTTATAACAGTAAAGCCGGACTCAAATTGAAAATCTCCAAGGTATATTCTGCCGCGTTCAGACATCAGCTCACTCAGATATTCTGCAGATAAAATACTAGAGGTCTGGAGGAGAAACTCTAAAGGGTAAAGTCTGTGAAAAATGTGTCTGTTTGCGTTCACACAGCCTAAAGAACCTCCGGGTAGACCTAGTCTCTGGAGTTTTTCAGGAGATTTCCATATGTGTGAAAAGTGTTTATTATATGTTTGAAGTTTAAGATTTTTTAACTGCAGTTTTCTTTTTTAAATAAATCTCTTTCAGTCTAGCCAAGCACAGGGGGCGTGTCCAGAGGGGGGGGGTGTGTGAGGTGAGACTTAAGTTGAAATCAACTATTCATGCTGTTTTCAACACACTACTCAGTATTTTTTCCTTTCAGTTTGCTCTTTCCATAAAAAATCTCAGAAGCTCAAACTCGTGCACACAGTCTCACTTGAAATGGACTTCATCGCCAAATTTGACAGCATACAAGAGTTTGCAAAACATTTTCTAAGTATTTTAAATTGTGAATTTGAGCATCTAAAGAATCAAGCTAAGAAGAGTGATATGTAGCCAAATTACACAAGCTGGGCCACCCCGTCCAAAAAGTCTGGACACGCCCCTCGCCAAGCGGTTATGCTGTACTGCACATGTACAGATGGGATAGTCCTCATCAAAGTGATCGCAGGTTCAAATCCGACCTCGGCCCTTTGCTGCACGTCGTCCCACACTCTCTCTCCTCCCACCTTTTCCTGTCTCGCTTCATCTGTCCTATCAAAATAAAGGCAAAAAAAGGTGAGAGAGAAAAAAGGTGAGAGAGAGAGAGAGAAGCCACTAGGCTCCCTCTCTCTCTCTTTCTCGCTCTCTCTCTCTCATAAATAAACCTTTAAAAAAGTTTTCTTTGTTAGATCTCACACACAGTAGGACTCTGTCTGTGGTTCTGCTGAAGTCTTGGACACTGGCGCCATCTAGTGTTTAAAGAGTGTAAGTACCAGCCAGTGCTGTTCATGTCACTGTAGAGAGTCATTCACTCGTTCCCTACTCCCTATTCACTATTGTGAGTTTAATGCAGTGGACTATATCGTGCACTCACTCAGAAAAATTAAAAAACATTTCGGACACTACTCGCTCACTCACCGGCCGCTGACAGTGACGTCATTGTTGTCGCACAAATGAGCTTAGCAACGGTCGAGGATCAATAACAACGGTAAATAACAGCATGAATTTCAGTGATAGCTCATTATACTGAGTGTATTTTCATGAAACATTTACAAATAATAAATACTTAATTTATTGAATATGAAAAATATTGAATTTTACATAATGAGACATATTTTCAGACCAAAACTAAATTATTTATGCTCACAGACTCTGGTTTCTCGTCTGTCATCATCATTAGGACTAATATCACTAAAGTTGACGATCTTTTAATCTTTATTCAAACCGATCATAGATTTCAGTAAAACGCTCTGAATATTGAGTTTCTGTGTTCATGCTGGTCTCTCCTCTCGTCCGTTTGAGAGCAGTCAAGTCAAACGCCACTCTCCGCTCGTAAAAACCTTTTGAACCGCAATGCATGATGGTATATATTGCTCGCATAGTGACCATCGCTCATACACTACTTTTCAAAATGCATTGTGGGATACATTGAGTGGACTATATAGGGTATGACCATGCTCACTCAGAATTCGGACAGCATGGCGTGTCCACTACATAGTGGATAGGGAGTGATTTCAGACACAGCCAAAGTCTCTAGAAATGGGATAATGTGGGAAACACAAAGATGGAAACTAAAAGAGAAGACACCTCTCAGAATAATAATCTGAAGCTGAAGTCTGTCCTCACCTGAGCTCTTCTTCCCCCCCTGGTGCACCCCATCCTGCACTCAGGATCAAACTAAACCTCACCCCTCCCTACCTCAAAGGACTGATCACCCCACAAATCTGCTCACTACACCTCCGACCCCTGACACCTGCTCCCTCTGACCACCAGAGGGCGCCACATACTCCTCCTCAAAACATTACAGAGCTCAGATTGTTCTTATGCAGCTTTTACCTGTTTGATTTTCTGATGAGACTAAACTCTGGATGTTTAAAAACTCAAAGAAAAAAACTCTGAACCTTTGAGTGTGTATCATCTCATAAACACCTCGGATTCTTGATGCTCCGCTGTCATAAAGAAGCTAAAGCTGCTTTTCATTTCAGGAATCAGTCTAGAAAGAAGCGACTTGTTTCTTCTACTTTCACGCCCCTGATGAATTACAGTGATGTCATCTTCTCATTCTCTTTAAATCTTTGGATGGTGCGTTCAGGTTCATATCTAATCTCAGAGCCCTGACTCATCACTGTAGTCTGTATGATCCAGTCTTCTCGTAGATTAAATCACTGACATGTCCTGATGTATAAGTCCATACTGAACCTGATCCGCTCATGTGAATGGAGCTGGAAGCTTCAGTTTCCACTCTGAATCACGAAACATGTCCTTGTCATCTGTTCACAAAGTGCGTCTTGAAACGAGGAGGAGGAGTTTCAGGTCCGCTGCTCCTGCAGGATGATCTGTGTCTGAGGGAGCTGCTCTCTTTAGACGCTTTCACACATGCACTCCGGAAAATATCTCAATAATCAAAACGTCTGTTTTGGTGTGTGTGTCTCTTTAAATGCAATGACCCTGGTGTTTAAAATGGGTACTGCAGTCTAAATTCTAAACATCATAGAGAGCTGTCCCCCCCTCCTCTCTAGAGTGGATGCTCACTCAGGTCACCATGTGGTGGACTCTGAAGCTTCAGTGTTTATCCAGCTCTGCATGGGTCTGTAAACCTTTCTGTGTTCTAACCTCTCTCCATTTTTCAAAAGCATCTCCAATATTGATCCTAGTTTGAGCACG